GCCATGATTCAAAAGGGGGGAAAAAAAAAAACATTTTTTTTTTTTAATCATGTGAGGAATGTACGCTGGATGAACACAGATGGTATGTATATATTCAGTATGAATATAGTATAATGTATGCATTCGTAAGCGCACATGTACAAAAATGTAATAACTCCATATTCATGATTCAAAAAAAAAAAGCATTTGGATTTTTCTTATCGTGTGATAAATGTATGCAGAATGAATACAGATGGTATTTATATATTCAGTATATGTATAGTATATTGTATGCGCTCGTAAGCGCTCATGTACAAAAATATCACTCCGTATTCATGATTAAAAAAAAAAAAAAAAAACTTTTTTGATTATTTTTAACATGTGAGTAAAGTACGCCGAATGAACACAGATGGTAAGTATATATTTAGTATATATTTGTATTACGTATGCATTCGTAAGCGCACTTGTACAAAAGTGTAATAACTCAAAAAAAAAAAAAAAAAAAAACAGAAGCATGAGAGTAATGTACGCATATAAGGTTAAACTTGTCACCAGAAGACCAAGTTTGGTACTTGTAAATACAAATAGATATATACGCATAATGGCATAATGGGCATTAATTGCATGAATATATTCAGTATAGGTATGTGTACTCGTTTTTCCTTTCAATTTTTTCAAAGTGATGTATAATCAAGGTTAGCCTTATTTCCAGAAGACATTGTTACTTATTAACACAATAGAATGTCCACATGATGATAGACACGTGATGTCAGGTACAATGTACTTGTATATGAATTGGCTCAACTAGAGGAAGTCAAGTGAGATATATCCTCGTACTGCTTCACTAGGATTTTCGCGGAATTGTATGAAGCCCTGTAGAATACTCGACCGTCGTTCGTCCAAAATGAGTGGATTTTCTTCTCTCTTTTGGCTTTTGACAAACCCGCGATGATCTTTTGTCGGAATGATGTCAGGTCTTCAGTTATAAAAACACGAAACTGGTCGGAGTGGAGATTCTTTAATTTGAGACGCGACTGGTATATACTGTTCTTGATTTTCCAGTTGCGCAATCTACATATGATTTGAGACTTTCCATTACGTATGTCACCAATCACGTGAGATCTGTTGATGTCATCGGTAGAGATATTTACATCAATACGTTTACAAATCTCAACGACCTTCGCATCGGTGGTTTGTTTTTCATTTTCCCGTAAGGGTACGCCATGAAACCGGAGGCTGGTACGGCGCCCATACTGCTCAAGATCCTCTAAAGAGGACTCCAGATGCTTAACTGTGGTTTCCAACTGCTGAACTTTGTTTGTAAGTTGGCGATTACATTGGGTCACCGTATTCAGTTGATCAGTTAGAGTTTTGATTTGTTCAGTATAAGGGGCCATGGCAGAAGAAATTTGTTGGCTGATAGCTGGTCCAAGAGCAGTAGCCAGGCTCGGGACGAGCGCGCTTATAAATGTAGGTGACGTGACCGAGGCATGTATAAGTTCAGTTAGGTTGATAGGATCACTCTCATTAGTAATTGTAGAGGTCATGCTGGGCAAATCGGGTAGGGACGATCTCCTACGACTCGACACTGGGGCACCTGCTACTAATGAGTCGGGGCTTACACTTTCCTCAATTTTGCGTTTGGAAATTGTAGATGGCGTTGAAAATTTGCCGGCCATACGATACTAAATGGTATACACTAGGCATGCAGTATAGGCGTGTATAGGAATGTACGTGTTCCACAGGTAACACAGTTCACGTGTACAACCAGGGAGGTTGAACAGTGTAAATCACTATTACGCAGAAATACACGTATTATAGTTGAAAAAGTTCATCAAGCACAACAATGACAATGCTTATGGACAACTGTTGGTAGATTTCATGTCAATACTCTGCTTAAATATTACAATAATACCCCACCTCACCTGGGAGCTCTTTCAAGTATGTGTGTCCATTACACCATCACGTGACTCGTCAATAATTATCGAGCGTATAGACCGAAAATATCAAGAAAGTACCAACATGGCAACATAATCATAATTCAAATTCAGATTCCATAAAACTGCGGCAAAATACGAACAAAAAAAGATTTGTTCGGAGACTCCTGAAATAGTACAAGGAGAGTAAGACCTGGTGTTCCGAAGGAATAAGTGTCTTCAGCATCGAACACGTCCAGCTTCAAATCACACAAAGAAATAAAATAGTTTTCAATGAGATCACTATGGCGACCATAAAACTTCACCATAAATTTCATCGGCCTGCATCTTTTGAACCCCTGTGTTACGATTTAGTCCGTCTGTTGACTTCTTGAACGAAAATCGTGATAATGGGAAAAGACCCTGGGATATTGAAGCGACATTGACATGTTAATGCTATAGGTCGGAGAGGCAGGAATATTGCTAACCAGAAAAGAAAAATTCACTATAGGGCTATTGAAATCATCACGTTTATCAAACAACCTGATGGAAATCTGTCCATGTTGGTCTCGTTGTAAGAAAGGGTCGAGATTAGCAGCTGATGTAGAAAAGTACGTCGTTTCTTTGATTTCCAATTCCGTACATGGTCAATAAATGTCTTGCTATTTACAGACAAGACGTCATCAATATATCTGAAGGTGAAATTAAACGACTTTGCAAGGTCTTTGTTACCTGTTTTGATACGCTATTCAATAAACTCAGCCTCGTAAGAAAACAAAACCACGTCAGCCAACAGAGAGGGGCGCACTTAATTTCCATAGGTTTGTCAGTAGTCTGATGGAAGATCTTATCACCAAACTCGACGAGGATGTTCTCAACCAGAAACTCGATCATTTTATTATTTCGTCCTCTTTATATTTCTTCTTTGATTTGGAAGTATTTTTTTAATTCACAGACATATCATTATACCGTCGTTCATCTTTCTTGGAGAAGAAAGTTCTCATACCAAGTGAACGAAGGCGTTCCTTCAGTGTAGAATGGGGTATGGTGGTGTAGAAGATGTAAACAGTCAAATGTTCTTCAAGAAGAAATGCTTTCAAAAAATGGTGTTGAAGATTGGTTAAAAGCTCTTTGAAGTTCTCCAAAATTCGCATACAATTAATTCCACTTCTTGAGTATATAGTATCACCATAAGACTTTAACCCAGATTTGATAGTACTTACAATGGTGGTAAGTAGGTTCGACAAAGGCTTGGTTAAACAGCTAGACGAGTCGGCGATAAAACGTTGTTTATATGGATTCTTGTGACGTTTTGGGATCCAGTACAATATTTCTGTCATATAAATCTTCAAATGTGGCAATAATACCTGGATCGAGGAAAGCTGACCTGTGTTTTGTTTTCATTTTCTATTTCAAGCTGCTACTCAGTCTTTCATTCGACCTTAACCTGATCGAGCATGCGTAGGACAGGTTTCAGCAACGCATAGCCAAGCTCTCGCGGCTTTTTGCCAACCAATGCCTATATGGTGCCTGATTCGCCGCATGCCAAGCCGATGTTGTGCCGTTAATGGGACACTCACTATGATAGTGTTGCTGAACCCATTGAAGCATTTTGAATTTTAAGCGCCATTCGGACTTTAACTTTGTTTTGTAAGGATATGAACTTTTATATCAAATCATACACGACACGTTTGAATGAAACTGATTCAAAGTGGGTCGAAATTGTTTTAATATTGTTTGACTTCACTCTTGTATTTTATATTTTGATTTTTTTTTTCGTCTAGAGTGCAGGCGACGCACAGGATCGTGAGCAGACTGAAGTGTAGTTGGCGGACACGTGACCAGATTACAAGATTATAGAAATGACATAATATGAGTCGGCATTCAACATAAATAACATAACGGTGGCTGTACCAGAGGACACGTGATCGATAAAATAAACAGTATAGGATCCATCTCTATTGACTCAATAGTCAATTTAATTGAATACGTTTGAAACAATCTTTTGTGAGATAAACAATGTATTACGTAAACTGACGAACCACGAAGGAACGTCCTTTGCCAACTGCAGATTAAAATATCTGTATAGATGAAGCAAATGTCATACTTTAGGTAAGAAAAAATCGTAGAGTTTGGTGGTAAGATCACCCAACAGACTATTGGCTTACAACGTTCCTATGGTAACAAACTGTGCCACTTTCTTTGCCGACTTGTTTTTGTTCCATGTTGTATACCCACCTTAACTGGATATCAGCGACACGGCACGCCTTTCAACATCATTTCCTTACCTTGATTACTGTCATCATGCACAGCTTTGCATCAGGCTGTATGATAAATGTGATGATTTCAATTTTCCTATCGTCAACTTTCCGTTTATTGGTAGAAACAACACTGCATCCTAATCTATGGTGTTTGTATGAATACAAATATGTAGCTAGATATTCTACTTATTTGTGCAACATGAAGCTGGATGTGTTTGATGCTCGTAAGTACTTGGATTAAAGACACTTGATCACACTTGAACACCTGGTATCTTATTCTCCTTGTACTTTTCACTTCGGTCTTAGTATTGATAGGTATTAATTCTTATTTGCCATTGTTTTATCGAATTTGTGTCCAAAGGTACAAATTGAAACCCGCCAATACTTACGGTACATCTAGGGCATGATAGTCTGATACGCATGTAAAGTTTCGTAGATATACTTCAAATAGTTTCCATAGTGCATCCTTGAAAATCTCCTCGGACAGATGCACTGACGGTCAGAGTTCAGTCAATAATCCCTACAAAAGTTTTTTTATCTTATTATTACTTTATAGTTTAGTGGTCAGATTAGCATCATGTCAAAATTAAAGTTAAAATGGTTAATACAACCAAAACTACCCTCAAGCCATCAATTTCTGATTTCGTTTCAGATGATATCGTCTGCCATCCTTTATTCCGTAATATATAATGACCAATCAGGAAAACAAATATGGCGGCGACCAGGAGGTGTTTCTCTGGAAAAGTTTATTTATCTTGTTCAGTGATATTTCTTCTTGATGTCTGTACACGCCAGCATGCACACGCAATCTAAAAAGAAAGTTGTATTTATTTAGTGAAGGATAATGCCGTTCTTTAAAAGAAAATCGGCAAACGGTAAGTGATTGCCTTTCCATTTCGCTGACCCGCAACTCGTACGGTATGATAATCGGTTTGGGGGAGGGTCTTCTTATCAGTCTAGTAAAATTAGTTGATCTGTAATAAGGGCATTACTTAATTCATTAAAATATTTGTTTTCATTAAGTTTCATTGAAGTTTTTACAATACCGAAACATTAAAGAACAAACTTCATCGCAAATTATCCCGGAAGAGGATCTATTTTTTAGACTCTGCTGTTCCTGGAAAGTAGGTAACTACCACTTATTGCCCGTTTTTGTTTCATATTTCGTTTTAGTTTGCTTGATCGCAATGAATAGAAGTTATGCATTACTTTCGTAAAACTGAACCAAATTCAAACTTTTAAACAAATCTCCCAGTCCCATTTTGTGGTAACCCTAGGAGCTTACAAGACGACTTAAATTTGAAGGATATCAGCTGACCAGAGGGTAGTATCAAACGTAACAACTATCCTAGAGTCTTAGTGACTGGTCCATTGTTCTATTTCATGATACCATATATAAACTGACAAGAGTAAGACAAAAACCAAGATCTTGCAATGTTATAAGGCTAGAGGATCATGTAAGTGTAGAGACTATCTGTACAATAATATTTAATTAAAGTCGCATGTTAAACATTAGCACTAAAGAGTTTTTTATTGTGATAAAACAGAATAAGTAAGATAAATGTTGACAGCACAGGCATGCAAAAGCAAAAAAAAAAATAATAATAAAAACAAAACCAAAAATAGAACATTGGCATAGCTAAAACATAGAATTAAACCAAAACTACACAAAACACACCTAAAAACATACGTTCATTGAGGACCTTGAAAAAAATGCTAAAAGGAAAAACTTACATCTATATACTTAATCAGCAATTTCAGTTGGTTTTGGCAAGACACACATCGCCAAAGATGGATCAGGTGTACTGAAGCTTCTACGGTACACCAAGACACAGGCCAAGACAATATTCCAGCTAGAGCTCTTAAAAATTGTCATCAAAAACTATTCCAGCACTCTCTTTTCTTTTCCATTCAATCTTAGATTTAGGCAATGTGCCACATGACTGGCATGAAGCACATGTTGTACATATTTTTAAGAAAATAAGCTGCTGATAATTAACATCTTGTCTCTCTAATCAGCATCACACATCAACTATAAAATGATGTCACACTTTGAATAGCATCCTTACATAATTCATTACCACTGGTCTTTCATTCAAAATTGTTAACTGAAACTCAACATATCCTCACCGTTGATGACATTGAAAAAAAACTTGACAAAAATAAATAGATATTGCTCTACAAGATTTTTCAGAAGCTTTAAACAAATTTCCTCATACTGGATACAAGATGAAATACTATTGGAGAAACACATCTTTCCAACTGTTCATTGGTTTCTTCTTTCTAAATTATATAAGCAACGGACAACAGAAAGATATGGAACCTGTTCTGATAGTCCCCCATGTTCTCAGGACAGTATACCAGGAGTCAGTTTTCAGATCACTCCTATTTTTAGTTTACATCAATGACATTGTAAACATTACACTAATTTTCTGATAACTGTTTACTCTATAAATGTCCTATACAAACTGAAAAATGAAAAAAAAAAAAAAATTATAAGGGAAAATGGCAGATGAACTTCAGTACTGAAAGATGTTACTTCGTCAATATTTCTAGGGAAAAAAAATATCAACTGTTATTACAATATTTAAATACAGGATAAGTTAGGTTCAGGAAAATGCTGAGGGGTTACCGTCAATTCAGATGTTAATTGAAACAACCACATACAGATAGTCCCAATCAAAATTCAACACAACACCAAGGTTTCTGAAGTGTAATATTTCATCATAATTGCTTCAGAATGGTCAACGTCTTAACATACACTACACTGTTATGCAGTCCCATGCTAGGACCCTTATGCTTCAGATCAAGTCCTAGCTAGCAATTAGCTGAAAACATCTGGAGAAGGGATGCACAATATGTATATAACGATCTGGAGAGCCTGGCTGGGAACCCCTGTGGAAGAAGGATAGTCAGGCAGGCATCCATGGGGTTATTGATCCATCCCCTTACATAATATCAGGCATCAGAGAACAGGAGGTGCCCATAGGATGAAGCAGACATCTATAAAACTCTCATTCTTCCCTAGAATCATAACTACCATTATCCCCTGCACAAGAGCCAGATCTGATAAGATATTTCAGGTCTGCCCTTGCTAGTTATAACTGACCTTCAATTATCTTTTGTATTTTATTGTAAACAAAAATCGCAAAAAAGTATTGTTTCAACCTTATTCCACCTGTTAAGGTAAAATGCAATTAATCCTTTGAACCTGACCCCCAGAAAGAAGGAGAAAATTATCAATAACTTCATATACATTGTAAGTAAAATCCTGTTGCTACTTGTACATCCCTGATTGCAGGATTCAGAAGGTAATGTCAGATTCGCATGTAACAAGTTGAAAGGTATTATCTGACTTGAGAGGATGTGTGACAGCTCTGTAGTTGTGATAGCTTTTACATATACAATGAGATATTTTTCTTATTTTCCTCTCTATATTCTTTAGTACTTTCAAGAGCAAACTCAATAATAGTTACTCTTCAATAAATTAAGTGATTAATGCCTTTAATCTATGGTAAGTCATACTTTTCTGCATGTATGAAGGTATTTTGATCAACCAAATATGGTGTGAAGCATATATTTCCTCATATTTTCGGGAAACTGAAAACATAGTTAAGAATGCAGAGGTTTTGATGTTCAGATGAAATATTTGGATGAGCAATACAGGCCCTATGAGCCTCTTTTTTTAATGCTGGCTGTTGTTAGAATCAATACACCAGCTATTTCACAAATATGTAGCAATTTAGCTTATGAAGTCAAAGTCATTATTAATCATGTTTTAACTTGTATAACATACAGTATTATCAACATTTGATTTTACTAGATAAGCAGTCCAGCCAAGATGTTGGAGGGAGGAAGCCAGTCAAGAGGACACCATCCAACAGGAGTGGTGTCTCCATGGGAAAGGCTGATCCTTTTAATGGAGACGTTGGTAAGACTGAAATATTCTATAAATCTTGTTCTATGCTGGACAACTTTATTACTGTCAAATAGATTTGTTAAGACAGATTTATGATCAAAGACTGAGTCAGTATTTTGGTTTAAGTGTTACTAATGAGTGTATGTTGTTTTAATGAGGCCTTCCTGTAAGTGTACGTCACCAGAAAGTACTCTAAATGTTTGCAGGTGTGACAGGAAGTCAACAGAGTGGTAATAAGACTCGACCTGTCAAACTACTACTATCTCCAGAGGATCTAGAAGACACCGGGGACTTAGGTATGATCAATGTTATAAACTTCCCTTACATTCTTACAAAGTCTTAAGTAATACTAATGTTTTATGGGTTTTCTCGATATTTTCAGTAACAGTGATTTCTTTGCATTGAAAATGAAAATGTTACAATATTTGGTATTTTCAAATGACCAGTGATTATGAGCCAGGGGTCAAATGACACAGATTAAGAATATTAACGGATTTATGTTGAGTAAATATTCCTTTATACCAACTACTATACAGCCCCTAGAACTGTATTTATACATGACAATGTTGGATTTTTCTTTTCTTGTTACATGGTCTTCAAAATAAAACTTGGTGATTCCATGCCTTTTTCAGGTGATTGTGGCACATCATTACATTCAGGGAGAAAGACATCTTCACGGTTATCTAAGACCTTGTTGGAGATTTTGAATGACAAAGATGCCCTAGGCTTATTCATTAAATATATGGACGCTGTAAAAGCTGCCCATCATATACGATTCTGGCTTGATGCTGAGAGTTTTCAGGCATCAACATGGAGTAGGCTACGGACACATTCATTAAATTCTGCAAAGAAAACTTTGTCAGGAAAATCAGTGGATGAAATTAAAGTGGTGCCAACATACAGAACAGGGGAGGTAACTTCTGAACAGGTCTGTGGTGATACACAGATAGATAATGAAAGTTATAAAGTCAACAACGATAATACATCACAACTTTCAAGTGAATGTTCTAGTCAAATGGGGACAAGCAAGGCATACAGCATCCATCCAGTGTCCTGTGGTGGTGCTTCTGTAGACACAATAAATAGACACAACATACCAGTATCAGAAGTGTCTAGTTCAGATCTACAGGAAACAGGACAAGTGTCTAGCTCCAACCTAACACAAACCGAAGGACAAGTGCCTCAATCAGAGATATCCTCTAGACACGATAATTTACCAAGGCTTGGTGCTGTGATAGGAAGTAGTGAAATGGCAGCCATGGGGGATATACATTCCCCGGGAGAAGATGTGGCAGAACATCACGGTGAGACAGATGGAACAGAGGAAGGACAGAATAGTGCTACTGTGATATCTAGGTCTGGTTCACAAGAAGATGGAGAAAAGAAAATGAAACGAGGAGTATCTCTAGAAGATCTGGCCGAAAAGTTAAAAAGAAGTATGTACTATCTGAATGTACTGTTACATCTCATTAGTCATATCTCATTACTTTCAGTGACAACCATTTTTCTCCATGATATATTATAATCCACATGTATAAGAAGTCTTCTGACTATTCCTCCACATGTACAGTACCTCGGGCTTCAGCTTTATACATTATCACTAGATTTGTCCAATTTTGACATTCCAACATTTCACAGCACTTGCCCCGCAGAATTTGTTCAAATGTGTCTGTATCCTAACAAGAATGGCTCAGATGACCACATTGTTAAGGCAAAATGGCCTCATATTTCTTTCACAGAATCACTCAGATGACTATTATGACCAGTAGGCCTTTTGTTTCATTCATAGCTCAGGTGACTGTTATTGCCAATCAATTTCTTGTTTCTTTCATATCTCAGCATACTAAGGGCCATTAAACCCCTTGTTTCTTTTATAGCTTGGATGACTTAAGCCCATTAAGCTGCAGCTGTATACAATTAAGCATTACTCAGTTAACCAAAACTGGGCCTTTGTAAAATAATGTCATCTTTGTATCACATCAGAAACAAGATTTGGTTTTCTTTTAATATTTAGTAGAGTAACCGCATTTCTGCAGGTCTCTACATTTTACCTAGAAATAAAGTAGTCTTAATCAATGATTTATGGAATACTAACAAACAGATTGTAAATCTGTTTTGATTCTCTGTACTCAGGTATTGAGAGAGATGCAGTAAAGATCTTCCAAAAATATTTATCACATGATGCAACAGATCCTATTGGTGCTCCAGATGAGCTACGCAATGAGACAATACGTAAGTATTACATTAATAAAATTATTTTTAACTTTTGTCATTTAATTCTCCAATCCTTAACATGAGATCCAGATTTGATTATACCCTAATTGATGATATCTGGCAAGCCTGTTGTCAGTATAAATGGCATTGCCATGTATAACCATGAATCATACTTAATTCCATAGCAACAGCAAACATTGAACATGCATATTATCAGGAATTGTTGAAATTTCTTTGATTTGGACAGCTCTTCTACTCAGATTGATTATTTTTATGATAAGTTATAAAGATATTTACTTAACATCGAAGTAAAAGAAATAATTTCTCACAGACAAGATTTGCAGAGAAGATGGGCAAGTTGATCCACAGTGTTTCTCATCCTGTCAGGAATTTGTTTTCAAGAAGATGGAGAAAGAGTAAGTTATGTGTTATTTGGATATTTTTAGTTTGATTTGTTAAGTAGAGTGTTACTATCCTTTTTTAGATACAAGCAGTCTTAAAAAACGTAAGTCACTAGATCAAGATCTCGTGTGTATGCTCATAAGCCCTTTAGGGGAAGGGGTGGAGAGGATGTGGTGACAGTGCACACTGTATAGTCGTACTGACATTATGGCCCCAGACTTATATCCATAAGAGATTGTTCAATTTTCTGTAGCAGACTTGAGACAGAAATATGTAGCACCATCATCTGTTTGAAAAGTACCTACAAACAAACAAGTTTTGAAATTTATGTTTAAATATTAATATGAAGTTGATGTAGATTGAAGCAAGTAGGATGCCATAGTCAGGCTGTTCTGCATCTTATCTACTCAGTAAATACGGAAATATCGGTTAAAACCTGAAAATGTTATTCAAAGTGGAGGAATATTTCAATTAAAATGCAAATTGTTAAGTGTCCCTGTCATTGACAGATGACTTAATATGAGCTCAAAGAATTGTCTAGAAATAGATTAAAATGAATACAGCACTCAACATGGAGTGGCCAATGTACACATTATCAATATTAGTTAACAATTATAAATTGAATCCAATTTCACAGCTTCGTTCTCAGATCTATGAAACTGTTTCAGATAAAAGTGATTTACTTCACAGTTTGAATACTGGTTGTTGAAGTCATTCAAAGTTTATGATAAAGTTTATTATAAAGTGTGTGTAATGATTACAGTCTAGTACATAACTACACCGTTTGCATGATGCCATCTTGATATGTCCTCTCAGGACAATCTAGTACATTTTTTTTTACATATTTCAGAATTTTTCAGAAAGAATCCATCACACGCTCTAATTACTGATAAATGTTTTAAATGTTATCATTAAAGGTTTTACCAGGATTTTATTGTGAGTGAGTACTACTACATGCACCAGATCAACACGCTGACAAGTACACAAGTCAACCTAGCTGATGTGTTGTACAATGAGGGGGCACTCTTCTACTTCATGGAGTACTTGGAACAAGAGGGGGGCAGCCATTTTCTCCAATTTCTCTTAGCCACAGACAACTTCCAGCAGCATCTCTTGTCTTGTGGGGGTCAATACGATGGGATGGAGGCACAGAGAGATGCGATGGTGCTCTATGACAAGTCAGTATCAGGAAATCTGTACCTATCTATTTTGTTGTATATTTAGTTTAATTGAAGCACTGCAATGGCAGATGGGTTTGCTAATCAGACTTATGGTAACTAATTTATACATTTCTCAGATATCATGGCAAGTCATTGGTTTGTTTCAATTATCACCCACAATTATGTTTAAACTACTATTTATACATCAAATTCCTTGAGATATTACATATCTGATTTAGGATGTAATACCTGGACACTTTTCTTTCAGATATTTTTCTTTACAAGCTACAGATCCTCTTGGTTTTGATGATAAAATTCGATTTGAAGTTGAAGAAAATATATGTCGGGAAGAAGGTCCACTTCCAGATTGTTTTGCGAAAACACGAGACATAGTCCTTAAAACAATTGAAAAGGTAAGACTGATCACATTACAGTACAACAGAGTCCTTAAAACAATTGAAAAGGTAAGACTGATCACATTACAGTACAACAGAGTCCTTAAAACAATTGAAAAGGTAAGACTGATCACATTACAGTACAACAGAGTCCTTAAAACAATTGAAAAGGTAAGACTGATCACATTACAGTACAACAAAGTCCTTAAAACAATTGAAAAGGTAAGACTGATCACATTACAGTACAACAGCTGTAAAGATACTGTAAAGTCACTCTCTGTTTGTTAGGAATGATCCAGGTTTTATGTCAGTTCTATAATAGAGTTAAAACTGAACAGTTGGCGATGATATTCATATTTCCTTTGAAATATTTACCATTTGCATGTTGTATAAAAAACTACAGCAATGTTTGAATTTAAAACTTTAATGTCTGATGCATGTTCTGTATTTCAGACCTACTTTACAGCTTACCTCCAAAATGATGTATATTACAAGTACTTGTCTGAACTAGTCAGCACAGTAGAAACAGCTAATTATCCACCACGCCAACGGAAACGTACAGGTCAGTACCAATTACCCACCACGCCAACAAAAATGTACAGGTCAGTACCAATTACCCACCTCATCAACAGAAATGCACAGGTCAGTACCAATTACCCACCTCGTCAACGGAAACATACAGGTCAGTACCAATTACCCACCTCGTCAACGGAAACATACAGGTTAGTACTAATTACCCACCACGCCAACAGAAACGTACAGGTTAGTACTAATTACCCACCATGTCAACAGAAACGTACAGGTCAGTACTAATTACCCACCGTGTCAACAGAAACGTATAGGTCAGTACTAATTACCCACCACTATACAGAAATGTACAGGTCAGTACCAATTACCCACCATGTCAACAGAAACGTACCGGTCAGTAACAATTACCCACCGTGTCAACAGAAACATACAGGTCAGTACCAATTACCCACCGTGTCAACAGAAACATACAGGTCAGTACCAATTACCCACCTCGTCAACAGAAATGTACAGGTTAGTACCAATTACCCACCTCATCAACAGAAATGTACAGGTCAGTACCAATTACCCACCTCATCAACAGAAACATACAGGTCAGTACCAATTACCCACCTCATCAACAGAAATGTACAGGTCAGTACCAATTACCCACCTCATCAACAGAAATGTACAGGTCAGTACCAATTACCCACCATGTCAACAGAAACGTACAGGTCAGTACTAATTACCCACCGTGTCAACAGAAACGTATAGGTCAGTACCAATTACACACCACGCCAACAGAAACATACAGGTCAGTACCAATTACCCACCACGCCAACAGAAACGTACAGGTCAGTACCAATTACCCACCACACCAACGGAAACATACAGGTCAGTACAAATTACCCACCACACCTACAGAAACATACAGGTTAGTACTAATTACCCACATTGTCAACAGAAACGTACAGGTTAGTACCAATTACCCACCTCGTCAACAGAAACGTACGGGTCAGTACTAATTACCCACCGTGTCAACAGAAATGTACAGGTTAGTACCAATTACCCACCTCATCAACAGAAACATACAGGTCAGTACCAATTACCCACCTCGTCAACAGAAATGTACAGGTCAGTACCAATTACACACCACGCCAACAGAAACATACAGGTCAGTACCAATTACCCACCTCATCAACAGAAATGTACAGGTCAGTACCAATTACACACCAAGCCAACAGAAACATACAGGTCAGTACCAATTACCCACCACGCCAACAGAAACGTACAGGTCAGTACCAATTACCCACCACGCCAACAGAAACGTACGGGTCAGTACCAATTACCCACAACGCCAACAGAAACGTACAGGTCAGTACCAATTACCCACCACACCAACGGAAACATACATGTCAGTACAAATTACCCACCACGCCTACAGAAACGTACAGGTTAGTACTAATTACCCACATTGTCAACAGAAACGTACAGGTCAGTACTAATTACCCACCGTGTCAACAGAAACGTACAGGTTAGTACTAATTACCCACCACCATACAGCAATGTACAGGTCAGTACCAATTACCCACCATGTCAACAGAAACGTACAGGTCAGTACCAATTACCCACCATGTCAACAGAAACGTACAGGTCAGTACTAATTACCCACCGTGTCAACAGAAATGTACTAATTACCCACCATGCCAACAGAAACATACAGGGCAGTACTAATTACCCACCACGCCAACAGAAACATAAAGGTCAGTACTAATTACCCACCACGCCAACAGAAACGTACAGGTCAGTACCAATTACCCACCACGCCATCAGAAACGTACAGGTCAGTACCAATTACCCACCACGCCAACAGAAACGCACAGGTCAGTACTAATTACCCACCACACCAACAGAAACGTACAGGTCAGTACCAATTACCCACATGCCAACGGAAACATACAGGTCAGTACCAATTACCCACCACGCCATCAGAAACGTACAGGTCAGTACCAATTACCCACCACGCCAACAGAAACGCACAGGTCAGTACTAATTACCCACCACACCAACAGAAACGTACAGGTCAGTACCAATTACCCACATGCCAACGGAAACATACAGGTCAGTACTAATTACCCACCGTGTCAACAGAAACGTACAGGTCAGTACTAATTACCCACATTGTCAACAGAAACGTACGGGTCAGTACTAATTACCCACCACCATACAGAAATGTACAGGTCAGTACTAATTACCCACCGTGTCAACAGAAACGTACAGGTCAGTACCAATTACCCACCGTGTCAACAGAAATGTACAGGTCAGTACTAATTACCCACATTGTCAACAGAAATGTACAGGTCAGTACTAATTACCCACCGTGTCAACAGAAACGTACAGGTCAGTACCAATTACCCACCGCGTCAACAGAAACGTACAGGTCAGTACTAATTACTGACCAATGAAGATCTGAGGTTTGTGGTTTGATGATCCAAACCAGTGGCTGTTTGGGTGTCAGCCATTGCTGACATTGTTGTTGCCATGAGCAACACACCTCAGTTTATCTTGATGGCCTTTGATGGGCCACACTTACCTCAGTTTATCTAGATGGCCTGTGATGGGCCACACTTACCCCAGTTTTTCTGGATGGCCTGTGATGGGCCACACTTACCTCAGTTTTTCTGGATGGCCTGTGATGGGCCACACTTACCTCAGTTTTTCTGGATGGCCTGTGATGGGCCACCTCCCATGTGTTGTTTAATGAGGTAGCTACCAGTTGTTTACAAAGAAACCCTGGCTCTCAGAATGACGTTTACCGTTTCTAGAGCCAAAACTCACCAAAGCAAATAACCTTCTACAGCAGGGCCAAAATACTGTAAATATTATTTTATTCGAAAGCAAGTCTATGATTTTAATTTTCTTTTTTAATGTTTTTCAATTTTGATATTTTTTGGAGAGCGATGAACATGAATGTAATTTGCATGTTGCTTACAAATACCGTACAAAGTTGGACAGTCGAAGAAATACATGTACAATGTATGATAATATATAAGTCTTGATGAGTTTGAATGACACCTAAAAATTATTTCCTGAAAATTGAATAAAGAAAACATTTGTCATGACTTCCTCAAGAAACACTTTCCTTTAATCAAGCGTTTAGTAATAGCAACTTATTGAATGTTGCCAGCATTTGCTGTATTGAGAATATACCATTGCATTGTGTTATCTTTCTGTTGGGGGTCTCATCACAATTATGTCTTCATATGATCCGGCCTGTTTTCATAGCATCAAACCAGATGTAAAAATCTTTCAATTTTCAATAACTTTTTCAATGCAAGTCTGATGTTGAAAATTTTAGTAAAACTTTTTTGAGGTACGCAAATTATTTAAAATTAAGTCTTTTAGTTAATATCTATTTTCCTTCTTTATACTACTCAATCTTCAAAAAATTTTATCATATTGAACAAGTATTTTTTCAAATGTGATATCAGAGTATGTTTTGATTTATTATCAAACAGTAAGGTACTATGGAGCTTTAATTGAACACATGCATCACATCTGAGTGCTTCAACTACAATATTATAACAACAGATGAGGTACCGGTAAGCTATGGTGAAAAATAATCAGCTCATATGACTATCTTCCTTCAGTCACCTGTGGTACTACATCTAGTTCGTTGCTGCAATGAAGATGTGTGATCTATATAATATTTGGACGTTTTTGGGGGTTACCTATCATTATTGATAAAAGAGCTGTTTAAATATTGGTTTTCTTTTGATTACAGCTAGTGATGCATCCTCAGAACACAGCAGTCACAGTGCGGGCAGTGAGAGCCGATCCTCAAAAAATACATATCTGGCAACTGATACAAGCTACTTACGTCACAACATAAATAAGCTTGATACTGCCATGAACCTTGACCCTGGGCTCCTAAACCCTGACCTCTTATGGAAAAGACACAGTCCAAAGTAATTTTTTAATGTTTTTGTCTTTGGTTAGAAAAAGTGTGGGTATGATACTATACATCTGTCCATACATCTGTCATCATTCTGATCATTGTCTTCTGTACATCTATCTTTCATCCCTCTTTCCATCCATCTGTCATCCTTCCATCTGTCCATCTTCTGTTCATCCATCTGTCCATCTCTCTGTCAACCCATCTGTCATCCTACTGTCCAAAATACAAACAATTTCACAATGAACTTAAATCTCTACTTTCTGTCATTTTATGATTAAAGTATGGGTGAAATCTCTACTTTCTGTCATTTTATGATTAAAGTATGGGTGAAATCTCTACTTTCTGTCATTTTATGATTAAAGTATGGGTGAAATCTCTACTTTCTGTCATTTTATGATTAAAGTATGGGTGAAATCTCTACTTTCTGTCATTTTATGATCAAGATCAAAGTATGGGTGAAATCTCTACTTTCTGTCATTTTATGATTAAAGTATGGGTGAAATCTCTACTTTCTGTCATTTTATGATCAAGATCAAAGTATGGGTGAAATCTCTACTTTCTGTCATTTTATGATTAAAGTATGGGTGAAATCTCTACTTTCTGTCATTTTATGATTAAAGTAGGGGTGAAATCTCTACTTTCTGTCATTTTTTGATTAAAGTATGGGTGAAATCTCTACTTTCTGTCATTTTATGATTAAAGTATGGGTGAAATCTCTACTTTCTGTCATTTTTTGATTAAAGTATGGGTGAAATCTCTACTTTCTGTCATTTTTTGATTAAAGTATGGGTGAAATCTCTACTTTCTGTCATTTTATGATCAAGATCAAAGTATGGGTGAAATCTCTACTTTCTGTCATTTTATGATCAAAGTATGGGTGAAATCTCTACTTTCTGTCATTTTTTGATTAAAGTATGGGTGAAATCTCTACTTTCTGTCATTTTATGATCAAGATCAAAGTATGGGTGAAATCTCTACTTTCTGTCATTTTATGATCAAAGTATGGGTGAAATCTCTACTTTCTGTCATTGTATGATTAAAGTATGGGTGAAATTTCTACTTTCTGTCATTTTATGATCAAAGTATGGGTGAAATCTCTACTTTCTGTCATTTTTTGATTAAAGTATGGGTGAAATCTCTACTTTCTGTCATTTTATGATCAAGATCAAAGTATGGGTGAAATCTCTACTTTCTGTCATTTTATGATCAAAGTATGGGTGAAATCTCTACTTTCTGTCATTGTATGATTAAAGTATGGGTGAAATCTCTACTTTCTGTCATTTTACGATCAAAGTATGGGTGAAATCTCTACTTTCTGTCATTTTATGATCAAAGTATGGGTGAAATCTCTACTTTCTGTCATTTTATGATCAAAGTATGGGTGAAATCTCTACTTTCTGTCATTTTATGATTAAAGTATGGGTGAGATCTCTACTTTCTGTCATTATATGATTAAAGTATGGGTGAAATCTCTACTTTCTGTCATTTTATGATTAAAGAATGGATGAAATGATAAATAAGCATTCCTTTTCTTTGTGATTTGAACATTTGACAAAACCTGCAAGTTTGCTAGCTTTAATCATGAATACACATCGTCATTTTTTGTTTGGAAAAACATTGTTATTTACGTAATTTTCCCATTAATTCCCAAGCATGGGCCTTTTTCTGGTAAACTATAGAAAAGGACGTATTGTATTCTCGTTCTGTAGAAATCCTTTTTATTGCTAAAGTGTGATAGTATGAGTTTTTTCTATTCAGGATGAGCTTAGGAAAAGTTGACACACTTGGAGAATTTGTGTCAGAGTTTGACCCTAACCCTGACCAAGAGAAAGTGAAAGGTATGTCTTGGATAAACAATAAAGGAATTATGGGCAGTGTTTGATGTACAGTAGTAGTCCTGCAGATTCCCAATTATTACCAATCAAAAAAAAAATAATGTTTTATGTTTCTTGAAGAAGGAATCCTGGTGATACAGTAGTTAGATATTGCTATTTAATTCAGGTGATAGGATTCATTGTGTGAGTTGGGAATACTTTTATACCTGTCTCTATCCAGTGTAAATTCAGTTTACTGTGCAAATCTTGAACTTCTTATTGATGTTTGTTTGTTGACTTTTGTAGCATCTGGACTTTTTAAGAGAAAGAAAGCAAAGGAAAAGGTAATGAACCAGTAATATAGACAATATCTTGTTTATCTACGATGTTAACCTCATTTTGATTCGCTTTGAGTGGAAATCATCTTTTCAATCAAAAAGCAATGTCATTACAGATTATCAAACATATAAATGTACACAATTTTTTTATTCAGGTATAATGAAGTGTATCTGTGAGACCTGTCTAAATTCTTATTCGTAGCAATGTGAAATTTTAATATAAATCTGTGTATGATTTGTCTGTTTTACCCAGGAACAAGAAGACATGGCATTAAAGATAGCCCAGATGATTATTAATGATGTGACTTCTGTCACACAAACAATTGGTGCACTGAAAAACCCACAGGATCCAGACGATGGAAGCTAGCAATGTATTGTAGTTACTGATGTTAGACATAGACAGGGATGTTGTAAGACAACCATATACCAGTATCTATCAGAGACCTCAGCTGTAACAAGTATGCATTCTGCTAGAGATATTCAGATTTTTGTTCCTAAATATAGCTAGGATCTTACACCAATTCCCATTTCATACAAAATGGCAAGCTTAAATGAAAAAAATTGAAATTAGTTTCATAAGTCATATTCATAATCAGAACAAATTTTAAATCCTTTTTATTTTTTTGCAAAAAATGTAGAAAATATTTCTGACATCATTCTTAAGTCATAATGCAATCTGTGAGCATGTAACATTATTTCATTTTCATCTCTGAAGGTCATTACCATACAACATGAGGTCATACGCAAAATTTTTACTTGGGTATGTTTACTGTAATAGCAACAATTATGTGATAATATTATTAATTGGTGTATTTAGAGATATCTGCAGGCCTGTGTCAGGTCACATTAAATGTAACTCAGCATTAGAAGTATGTCCCTGAATTTTACCCACATATCATACAGTAAGAATTCATCTGTTTCTATCAATTGATAATGAATGTAAGAAAGACTTAAATGGGTTTCATATTATTTGTAAATCTCCGAGGTAATGTCATGTGGTCACTCCATTGGTTATTTCGTTCGTTGATCTCCGAAGTTATGTGGTCACTCCGTTATTTGTTTTGTTCGTTAATTTCTGAGGTTATGTGGTCACTCCTTTGGTTATTTTGTTAGCTGACCACTTAATGCTGTTTGGTTCAGATTTTTGAGAAGAGTATATACCTTTATAAAATCAGGAGTGTTATTTTACTGACATTTTGATTTACAAATTAAGATTTCATGTTGGTGGTCAAGGTCTTTATGTAAGACTTCAGTTAAAGTGTAAGTACATGTTTATGTACAGTGATACACATCTAATTCAGCATTCTGCATAAATAAGCAGTGCTCCTTACAGTGTTAAGTTCACATTTTTGTATAATATTGATTCATGTACACAAGATAAGTGCCATATATTGATATGCAATTTATCCTCACTACAAAAACATTAGTAGGAATTGTACCTGGTAATGAAAATCTGTGTTATCTTCACCGACCAATATTTCTGTATTGTCATCTAGATACTTCTCTCCGGTCCACTTCATTATATTGATCATACTGATGTTTGATAAATCCTTCCTTGACAGATGAAGTCGTCAGATGTTTCAAAAGTTGTTGAGTTCTTGCTCCTGTTTGTAACATGTAACCTTTGATACCTTGAAATGGCTGAGAATGAAACTTTAAACTTAATAGCAGGGTTAATTATCAACATTGAGAATTTTGATAATAAAACAAAGCAAGCCTGCTTTGACAATAAATCAGGTTATATTTTCTCATTAAACCACATCCTTTCACATTTCTAGAGGTGATATTTTCTCATTAAACCACATCCTTTCACATATCTAGAGGTGATATTTTCTCATTAAACCCACATCCTTTCACATTTCTAGAGGTGATATTTTCTCATTAAACCACATCCTTTCACATTTCTAGAGGTGATATTTTCTCATTAAACCCACATCCTTTCACATTTCTAGAGGTGATATTTTCTCATTAAACCCACATCCTTTCACATTTCTAGAGGTGACATTTCTCATCAAACCCACATCCTTTCACATTTCTAGAGGTGACATTTCTCATCAAACCCACATCCTTTCACCTTTTTCATTGTTTTAGTAGACAACAAGATACACTATTTTTCTAATAGTAAGATTTATTTACATAAAGAAACAGAGTGGAAGTTCAGATGTACTGATAGATTTTGTTCGTTGGGTTATTTTTAGAATAACTATATAGGACATCACACAAATGACAAATGGGAAAGGTAGAGAGGAAGGAAGAAAGAATAGAGATTGGGAAAGGAAGGAAGGAGAGAGAATGGGAAAGGATGGAAGGAGAGAGACAGGGAAAGGAAGAAAGAGAGAGTGGGAAAGGAAGAAAGAAGAGAGAGAGTGGGAAAGGAAGAAAGGAGAAAGAGTGGGAAAGGAAGAAAGAAGAGAGAGAGTGGGAAAGGAAGGAAGGAGAGAGAGTGGGAAAGGAAGGAAGGAGAAAGAGAGTGGGACAGGAAGAAAGGAGAGAGAGTGGGAAAGGAAGAAAGAAGAGAGAGAGTGGGAAAGGAAGAAAGGAGAAAGAGTGGGAAAGGAAGAAAGGAGAGAGAGTGGGACAGGAAGAAAGGAGAGAGAGTGGGAAAGGAAGTAAGGAGAGAGAGTGGGAAAGGATGGAAGGAGAGAGAGTGGGTTAGGAAGAAAGGAGAAAGAGTGGGAAAGGAAAGAAGGAGAGAGAGTGGGAAAGGAAGGAAGGAGAGAGAGTAGGAAAGGAAGGAAGGAGAAAGAGAGTGGGAAAGGAAGAAAGGAGAGAGAGTGGGAAAGGAAGGAAGGAGAGAGAGTGGGAAAGGAAGTAAGGAAGTAAGGAGAAAGAGTGGGAAAGGAAGTAAGGAGAAAGAGTGGGAAAGGAAGAAAGAAGAGAGAGAGTGGGAAAGGAAAGAAGGAGAGAGAGTAGGAAAGGAAGGAAGGAGAAAGAGTGGGTTAGGAAGAAAGGAGAAAGAGTGGGAAAGGAAGGAAGGAGAGAGAGTGGGAAAGGAAGAAAGGAGAGAGAGTGGGAAAGGAAGGAAGGAGGTAGAGTGGGAAAGGAAGAAAGAAGAGAGAGAGTGGGAAAGGAAGAAAGGAGAGAGAGTGGGACAGGAAGAAAGGAGAGAGAGTGGGAAAGGAAAGAAGGAGAGAGAGTGGGAAAGGAAGAAAGGAGAAAGAGTGGGTTAGGAAGAAAGGAGAAAGAGTGGGAAAGGAAAGAAGGAGAGAGAGTGGGAAAGGAAGGAAGGAGAGAGAGTGGGAAAGGAAGGAAGGAGAGAGAGTGGGAAAGGAAGTAAGGAGAGAGAGTGGGAAAGGAAGTAAGGAGAGAGAGTGGGAAAGGAAGGAAGGAGAGAGAGAGTGGGAAAGGAAGAAGAGAGATATAAATTATGAGCATGTCTGATCAGTCAGTTTATTTTAGATCTCCATCTTCAGTTATGAAATGAAATGTCTGAATATAGTGTGTACACTTGGAAGGAATTGTATTAACATATACTAAACAAAAAAAGAAAGGTAACACTACTTTATTCTGTGATTAATTAATTAATCCCTTCATAAATCCTTACCAATCATGTACGAATAAAGTAATTGATCAATTCTGATAAAACTGCAGTCATGGTTCATTATAAAACTTTGCGTTCAGTTGATTTTACTCGACTGTAAAGGACGTTGGGGTCAATTTCAAAGGTAACACCATTAGTAACAGGTATGGCCACCGTTTGCGAAGTAAACAGCATTGCAGCGTCATCGCATGGAAATCGTAAACCGGCGGATAATTCGAGGAGAGATGTTGTTCCATTCAGCGATCAAGGCTTGGGCCAGCTCCTGCAAGTTTGACGGCTGATTTTGACGTTCTCTCACGCATCGCCAAAGAACATCCCAGACATGCTCAATCGGTGACGAATCAGGTGATTTAGATGGCCAATCTAACACCTGTATGTTATTCTGCTGCAAGAAAGTTCTGCTGACACGACTGGTGTGCGCTGGTGCGTTATCCTGTTGAAAAATGGTGCCGACGCCATGGCGTCTTAAGAATGGCATAACCACTGGTCTTAAAATTTCGTCCCGATATCGAATGCCGGTTAAATTGCCATTTAACACAACAAGCCTGGTACGAGTCCCCCCACAAATACCACCCCAAACCATTACACTTCCGCCGCCAAAGTGGTCCCATTCTGCCACGCAGCAGTTCGCAAAACGCTCCCCTCGTCGCCTCCACACTCCGCGCCTTCCGTCACCGTGTTGCAGACAAAACCTGGACTCATCTGAAAACAGGACATTGTTCCATTGTCGTATGGCCCAACGACGGTGAACACGGGTCCAGTTACGCCGATTATTACGGTGACGTCGCAACAAATTGGGTCCAGTGTAGGGACACCGCGCTTTCAATTGGTAGGCCCTCAACCTGTTGCAGACTGTTTGGGAAGACACACGACGCCCAAACAATGTTCTTGTAGTCTCTACTGCGGTTACGAATCGATTGCGCAATTGTATCAATCGTATACGACGGTCATCCCAGGCGGTCGTTTTATGGGGTCGGCCGCTTCAGGGATGATCGGATGTTAACCCAGTTTGGTTTAAACGACTTACCAAGTGGCAAATTGTCTTAACACTGCAACCAAAATGCTGTGCAACTCGACGGCGAGACTCCCCAGCCTGGATCATGCCTACACCCCTTTCTCTCTGTACTTGTGACAGCCGGGGCATAAGGATAAAGTTGATAGATAGCAAGATTCATAAATTTTTAAGTCCTAAGGATCTAAGGAACAGTTATCAGTTTGAATGTTTATGAAATTCAAGTGAAGATACAAGTTAGTCGCAGAACACATCGTGCAGCTCTTTCGCTAATAAAGACTTTCACGCTTGAATGATTGTGGTAACCCCCTTGGATTTTGTAATGTAAAACATAACCATTTTCTAATATTGCACAAACGTCATTTTGTTTTCACTAATTTATAGGTATTCACCAAGGAAACATGTTAACCTTTTTTTTGTTGAGTATATTTTTTCTGCAGAATTTATTAAATTTTTTGCAAGACTTGAAAAAACCAAACAAGATTTAGAAAATAAGACACTAACCACAAAAACAGTTCACAGCTTGTATAAAGAAGAGATTTTCTACTGGTTTCTGACAATCTGGTCTTTTCTCGCTCAATTGAAATATGTTTTTATATGATTGAGCAAACAACATCAAGTCTGATAATTGAATGTTCCATCACATTAGATTTTGTTTTCCTATAAATAAATTTGTGTGATTTTTCTCCTAGAAAGTGAAGTACATAGTAGGCATGTATTTTTGCTATTGTTCTTGTTTATTTGTGAACATATTTAGTGTTATTTAGACTGAACAGAAATTGAGATATAAACAAGTTTTTATAGAGTGTTTGTCAAATTAGAAATCTCACAGAGATGAATGACCAATTAAGTTGCTTGCTGACAGGTACCCACAGTCTGATGGGTAC